AGAGCATGCTTTAATTCCAATACTTTTGAGTCCGGTTTCTTGTTACATTCGTGCTTAGGGTCTTCAGTTTACCAGTAACATGTCTGCCTTAGTAAGAATATCATGCATATATATAAAGCATAGTGTCCCTACAATTGTGCAATACAATAAGTGAAGCACATTTATATAAGGACAGATAATATAGGAGTTCAATGGACCTATTATAGTCTTAAAGCACTGCACGATTAGAATCCTTTTTAACCAAACTATATAATTTAGACGAGCGAAAGAATGTAAAAAGCATGATTCGCAATCACCTAAGCTCAGGTAATAATATTTCTTGCCTTTATTTTCTATAAAGCATATTCCAATATTCATCGAACATCTATTTAAAAAAAATGCGCAATGCGCAAAAAGTAATTTTTTTATATTAACTGATCTTTATACACGAGGCCAAAAGATGTCCTTTCAAAAATTTGGCATCCGTATATATCTGGTTTATCTAACAATTATGTTGCCAGATAATAAGTGCTACAATTCGATTTGAGTTACTATTCCCAATCCGGAGCACCTCCTAGCATTACCCGAGGTCGGTCACTGACTACAATCTCGATTGCGGGATCATATGCTCTATAAAACTCACCGGTTTTCGTGTGGATGGTAGAGCTCACAAGAGGAGAGCATATTGAAGGGATTTTCGTCCTCACCTCCGCATACGACCACCACCTCATCGCTATCCTTTCGGCCTCCGAGGTGAACAACAGTCGCCGTATGTCCGAAAGCCCGTCGAGTCTTCATTGGCGCTAGAGGCTTCCATAGACCGGTGCGAGCATCCAGTTCGTCCAGTCTAGAAGCGCTGTCTTCCCATCCGTTTTCCTCACTAAATCCACCGATGAGCAGAATACGGCCTCCTGTAAAATAACATTAAAAAGGAAGATGTAGCCTCGAACCAAAAGATTATTGGAAACTTATAAGGTGAAAAAATGTATTTATAGGCGGCTCTCATCTTGATGCACCGGAAATTCGTTCAACAACATGTTGCTTCTTTTATTAAGAGCTTAAGGTCTTCAAACAGAGGTGGAACCGGAGAGCTTCTTATGCAAAAACTTGTATTCCCTTATATGAAAAACCAAAGAAAGTGACAGCTCCCTATATCGATCTACAGTAATCTCTCGAACATCGCGGCCGTGCTGCGGGACCACCCGCAAAGTGCTGTATATTAAATTGTAATACCTCTGTAAACTATTATACATATATGTTATACTTTATAGTTATAGTTTAAATCTCTTGAACACTCCACTAAACACTTAAATGTTCGTAAGAAAATAATAAAGACTCATACGAATAGCCCCGAAATATCGAATATCCACAGAACTTAACCTAAGGAAAAAAACCTTAAATATCAACTCCATGGAAAGCAAACCGTGAAGTTACGAGGGATGACTATAAAGCCTCGTTGTAGAATATGGTTTTTACCTCTGAGACAGACAACAGCCGAGAGAGGGCGCCGTTTACAGCGGCCCAGTACACGTCCAAGACCGGTTTGAGGGTCATAAAGCTGACAAAGCCACCGATTGCTGTCATCGCCTTTTTGTCGTCCAAGGAGCACAATGCTTGACTCCGGTTCCGGCGAATTTTCCAAAACCTGACTGCAGACAATATCAGGTAAGGCCTCAGATAAGGCCGTTGAGGTTCTTCGGGGACTCTCGTTAAAGGGACAAGGCATGCTCTCAGGATTTCCAATCCATGTATTGACGCTGTTCAGAAAGCGCCTTGTAGGAAGGCGTTATTAGTATAAGTGGCAGAGGCAACTTACATACAAGGCAAATTGTCTGAGATTACGTCTGTGGTAGAAATCCCTATTCTAAAGTCCACAGATGTCTCCATCCACCGAATTTCGCTCATCAATTCTGGCAGCCGATTCAGTCGGGTCTTATTAATGGCGCCATTAGGTTTTATCCATCTTAACAGCGACTGGAAAAGTACTTCTTCGCTGGAAACATTTAAGCCGTCTTCTCTCAGCAGACTTAACACTGTGTCTGCCGGCAGTTGCAGAAATGTGTCGCTCGCAACTGTCTGCTCATAAGAAGACCTCATAAATGAAATGCAGGCGTCGATAAGAGACTGGGTCCCAAACAAACGGGCAAACAGAAACCGGTCAGTAACGTTTTCAGCATTAAGTCTAAACAGATAGTATATAGTTGGCATAAAACATTAAGATCTTGCCTTGAAATAAAGTATTTCAAGACCCAATCTACAACTTTTTTCATCTGCAGCATCTTTGCCATAACCAGGATACCGTTGATGTTATTCTCCGAAATCATTAATTTCCCGGTGTACAGGTAAGATATCAGACATGCTGCAAGACTAGGAGATGCGCTAGTAACTTTTAAGGGGGATTTACCATTTTGGAACTGCTTTCCACTGGAAAATTAATTCCGCTTCTCCTTTATGTTTCTTCATCAGTTGCCGTATATGTGGTACGCGCGCAGCCAGGACAAATCGGTGTGCGTTTATGCTTTCGCCATTTGCCAACTAAATAATTATGCACCGTAGGTTACCTTTGGGAATGAGATCAACTTACTTCTATTTTGATATCATTGGCCTCATTCTTTTGCCACATCTCCTGCATGGCAGGGCAGCTGTTGTACAAAGGGAACTCGTCATTGAATACTTGACTGTCTCCTTTTGCCATGTTTTAGTCCCAGCTGGAAAAGTGCTTTTCCTCATAAGTATAACAATATATATATCGAAGGATGAGATGTAGTGTAGGGTTGCTTTCATTGGTTCTCATCGTAGGGCCAATAGCACCACTGCGCAAAGCAAGTACCAATAGGAACTGCTCGATCTACCGCATTTCTTATGCTTGAGTAACATTAAAGGTAATCGTCAGATTCCACACTTGGTTTTTTCAGCAGTTTTTCCATTGGTTCGAGAAAAAGTCACTTATGAGCTTGTTTGCTCTGCAGTGTCCACAAAATTTGCTGCCAAGTGGCTGAGCAAATGCCTGCCTGCCTTGAAAACTGTGCGCGCCATACAGAGAAGATTTTGCTTCAAACTGTATTTTGTTCTATCGAGTGACTCAAACTTTTTCTTATGGCAATTGTTTATTGCATTCCCAACACCAACTAAATTTCGGC